CCCACACACACACACACACACACACACACACAGACACACACACACAGACACAGAGAAACTCAAACACCTTCACCGCAACCCATCAAAATAAAAGTCTGGTTTAACTTGAAGAAATTGTGGCAGAAATATATTAGTATTGAACAGCATAATGTACCTCTCAAAATAATAAATAATAAAAAATAATAACTTTATTTTTTATGATATCACACATTTTTTCCATGTTTAAATTTAAACAGTAAACCTCTGTTGTGCAGAACATTGTATAGGGCCCTAAAACTGTACTTTTTGTTAAACTTTTAATAAATTGTTGCAAAATTGTATTTTGGGAAATCAGTTAATTGGATATGCGTTTTGATACACAATTTGATTTAACCATTAATCCAGAGAGAGAGAAGAAAAAAAAAAGGAATTTGGGTGAAAAATACATACATCATGTGGCAACTACCAAAGCAACCTAAAAACATGATAAAAGACCCCAGTGTTCAACTAACACTAATACTAATATTGTGCATTAGTAACTATCCCTTTTAAGAAGTTTATTAAAACTAAAACAACAAACCTTAATTATTATAAACACTAAACATGACAGTGTTCTGCCACAACATCCAGAGAACGTCAGCTCTTTAATTTGATTTAAGTCTGTTATATTGTATATATGAGATCTGCATATAATAGATAAATAGAAACGTATATAAGAGACAGACTGAAAGAAACACACACACACACACTCCTCTTAAATACGCTCAAATCTACCCACACATGTGCTGCTCTACCTGCTGCCAAAACAATAAACTCATCCAGACCCAGAGAGATCATCGAACAATACAACGACAGTCTCTACCCACACACACACACACACACACACACACACACACACACACACACACACACGCACAAGCGCAAACCAAATTATTTTCATAGGGCCCTATTATTGTAAGTATTTTAATAAATTATTAAAGTTTTATGAATTTAACTGATTAGACATACTTTTTGGTAATTAAACCTTTAAAATGGAATCTAGAAAAATTACAACAGAAAGCATGAAATTTGGGAAAAAATAAAAACGGATTTCATAGGGCCCTAAAACTGTCAATTTTTGTTAAACCTTTAAGAAATTGTTCTTCAATTGTATATGTTTTGTGAAAACGATTAATTAGACATGCTTTTGATTTCAAAATTTGAATGGACTCCAGAAAACCTAAAGCAGAAAAAATAGAACTTGAGGGAAAAAACTGAATTTGGGGAAAAAGTACATGCATAATGTGGCAACTTAAAAATTGTGACCCTGGACCACAAAACCAGTCATAAGGTTACATTTTTTGAAATTGAGATTTATACATCATCTGAATAAATATGCTTTCCATTGATGTATGGTTTGTTAGGATAGGACAATATTTGGCCGAGATACAACTA